AGTACATTATAAGCCTTACAACAGTTATTTACAACTAATGGCCTATAATCCAAAAGTCCCTCATCATCATCATAATTATGCTCTGAGTCCACTACCTGTAAAACAGAAAGCTGAGTGGGTCAGGCTTGGGAGCTTGGTGAGCATATAGGTTTTTCAACCCACAAATAATAATAAATTTATTAATTTCATTGATCAACAATAAATTTATTAATTTCATCAACCAACAATAACCCTGATTACCCATTTCCGTTATCCTCACTTTACGTCCCTAAACACCTATACAAGGGACCCAGTCTAAGGATTTTATCATCGGGATGGACACTACTACTAAGGGGGTTTCTCAACAATAAATGTCCTAAAGGCAACCATGAGGGAGATGGAGTACACCGGTGAACACATCGTTCACAACACCTACAGGTTGCGAGCCTGCTAGCGTTCCACTGGACTGTCTAGAAAAGTCCGTGGTCGTCATCTATACTCCACTAGATGACTGGAACAACAACAATATCGAGGCCTCTCATCATTTTAACACACATCAACTATTTTGTCTACCCATGTTCTACCCAACATATTTGTAGATAAAATACATATACAATTTATAACTTGTATAAAACATTGTATTCAACAATCATCTCAAATAAACAATTAATATAATTACACATAACACGTATTTTATAGAAAATACTTCATATCTATGTGTAAGATGAAAGTGATTATACACTCACTTGATTTGATGATAATCGGGCAACAATTCGTTCCTTAAAATGATCGTTTCTGATAAAACTAGGAGTTTTATTGAGAAACCGGGCTCTGCGAGAGTTGGAGCTTCAAAACCGAAAATATAAAATTTTCCGGGTTTTCGGGCACTTCGGGACGTATTTCGGGCTTTAAAAATGATACCGGGGCTTCGGGGGAAGTCAAAATAGTCAAAATATAAGTTTAGGGGTGAAAAATGACAACTTTTCAAAAGTAGTCGGGAGATCTCGCAGCCCCCCTATTTATAGGGTGCGTGACCGAGATCTCCGTGGCTGAGAGGCTTCCACGCAGCTGCTTGCGAAGTTCGGTGACGAAGGGAGGCGTGGCTGCGAGGGGAGGAGGCACGGAGGCGAGGCGCGTCGGAAGAGGATAGGTTGCGAGGCTGGTCGAATCCGGAAGCAACACGCGTCGGATGCAGCGAAGGCCAGCGAGGCTCGGATGCGAAGGGCGCGTCGGAGGATACGAAGGCGAGACGTGGCTGCTTCGGATTCTTCCACGCAGGTGACACGCGCTTGATTCCGGCTAGACCTCGGCTTTGGCCTATCAAAGGCTGGCACGCGTCGGTCTCGGATTCGGCCACGACTCGGCGACGCAGCAGCTTCGGCCTCGATGACGTGTTTGGTTACTGTTCATGCGAAAATTTCCGAATTTTGAGCCCCGAACTTCTAAAATCCCATAACTTTCGCATACGAGCTCCGTTTTTAACATTCTTTATATGCACACATAGCTAAAATCATGCTCTAAAACTTTCGTTTAGACTTCGTCGGCTAACTTTGATTTTAATTTTAATATTATTATTTTTAACAGACCAGGACAGGAAAATCCGTTAAAAATTCATAACTTCTTCATCCGACGTCCCTTTTCGTCAGTCTTTTTACCGTTGTACTACTATTGACGAGACCTTCGATTCTCGTTTAGGTTGTGTTGGCTAAATTTCGCTCGATCTTAAATTCGAGTATTTAGCTGTCTACTGCTAAGCTAAAACTTAGAAAAATCATAACTTCCTCATACGAAGTCAGATTTGGGCGTTCTTTTTATCGAAATTCTCGGTTTAACGAATACTACGACTTTAGTTTATATTGTTAAGGCTAAAAAGCACTTTATCGTAATATTTACTTTTTACACTTCCCGGTGCCGTGCCGGTTTTGTCGCGAAACTTTGACAGGTCATAAATTCTTCGTTATAACTCGGATTTCGACGTTCTTTATATCTCCGGAATCCTTGTTTCGGCCACTACAACTTTCTTAAAAGATATCGTCTTTTTATAATATTTATTTTAAATGCTTATTTTTATTATTAATTAATTAAATCTCAATAATTAAGCAAATAAGCATATAATTCACATAATATTCACATAATTCCTCTTTATTACTTCAAAATGAGTTACAAAGGTTGACCTAGACTATTACAACTTTATTAATGCTTTTATCCCAGAAACACGGGCGTTACATCTAAGTCCATAACTATTTGGTATGTACTTGACCCGATTGTGCATGGTCCTTTTAGGTTGTCTTCACCAAATCAACTTGGTATGATGATTTATGGAGAAAGAAGATTAATTATGATTTATTAATATATATTATATGAATAATATATTAAAAGAGAAATCATATTATTTAATTAATAATAGTCAATAATTAATTAAGAATTAATTTTGTGGCTAAAAGAGATTAATTAAACTTAGGGGACTGGATTTGTAATTATAAGATAATTGCAATTGGGCTATGGATTACCTAATAATATATAGGTTGGACGAATTCTATGGGGAAGCCCATTAGAAATCGTACAAGGGATATGTTAAAAGAATCCATGGGCTGCTTAGGGCCTAAGCAGTCAATTAGGGTTTCCTTGTTTGATAACCCTAATAGCCTCACTGTTTAAGGACCCCTAGAGAACCAAAAACGTGGCCAAGAGTTTCCTTAGGGTTTCTAGACGTTTTTGGGTGCTTATCCTCCTTTCCTAAGTCATCTTCTTGCTCTTGGTGTTTGTGAGCCATTAGAGGTACTACATGTGTGGTACTTGCTTTCAAAGCTAAGGAAATTCAAGAAACTAGTTGTTATTACTATATAACAACAAAATGTATGTATTCTATTCTTCTATGTGGATTTCGAAAATAGTACTAGCATGCCAGGTTTCTTTTTGTGTTCATAAAGTTGTATAACTAATAGTGAAAACATAGATCCAACTCCAGGGTTGCATGCACACATAGGATTATTTATATAAAACCCATCATAGTGTCCCCGCGGAGCATTGTTTGACCTTGAAAATTCTTGACAACATAGTAAGTGGGCCAAAATTCCACAAAAGCATTATTGTTAAGAGTTATTTTTTGAGATACTAAGAAGGTTTTTGGTAAGCTTTGGAACAACAAGAACATTAGGAAGGTTAAGTTGATGCAATTGAGCCCATATGAGAAATAAAAAGGTTTTTACCATTGCCAACTTGGAGTTTATCATCTCCTGTATATGTAGTAGCACCACGAAGTTTGTTAACATCCGGAGTAACATGACCAGTTGCTCCTGTATCGAAATACCATGATGGATCCAAAACAGTAGAAGAGGAACTAGATTGAACCAGTTGAGCTTGGTGAGACTGATCACGTGGGTTCGCCTTGCGGGAAGGATATTCAACTTGATTATTCCGCTACCAGCAGTCAATGACTTCATGCCCTGGTTTGCTACAAAGTTGACACATTGGGCGTCGTCTGCGATTGTCAGTATTGCAGTTGGGAGAGGAGACAGGACCTGTATTGGAGGAGGTAACCTTTCTGGAGACGAGCAATCTGCAGAGTAAGCAGATGCAACAGAGGTAGCAGATAAAGACTGTGTGTTTGGTTGGGGTAGGAGAGAACCTTAACGAGTAATCTCCTGTTCCAAATGGGCCTCTTCTTGAAGTAGAAGACTAGCGAGTTCATCAACTAAGATAAGATCAGATTTCAACATGACAACAGTGTAGAAGGGTAGTCGAGGCCAGACAAGATGTGACCAACAAGGTCCTCTTCAGAGATTGGATAGAGATTTTCTGCAAGGGAGTCAACTATGGATCGTTTCTACTAAAGATAGTCCATCATGGATAAAGAGCCTTTGACAAGAGTTTGCAATTGAACCCGTATAGCCATTCTCTTGTGCCCTAGTGTGTGCCTGGAAGGTCTTTTCGATGGCTTGTCAGGCCATGTGGGAAGAGGTAGCACGGACAACAATGGCTAGGGCACTCTCATATAGTGTAGACTTAAGCCAGAGGAGGACAAAGCAATCCCTTTTCTTCCACATGGTGAATTCAACATTGGGTTCGGTGATGGTAACACATTTATCATCAGTAACAAAAGTGGTTGCTGGTGGAGGGAGAGGATCGCGAATAAAATCCTCAAGATCGAAGGTCTCTAGGGCTTGGATGATTGTGGACCGCCAGAGTGAGTAATATTGGCGATCGAGTTTGATGCTGATGGATGGAATCTGAAAATTAAGAGTAGATGAATCGGAGACTGCAAGATTCAGGATAAATGAATTTGGATGAGCCATTGAGCAACAAACAATCGGAAGAATATGAGAGGATTTTTTTTATGTGGCTCTGGATATCATGTAAAGACTGATAATGATTGAATTTCACTGTGTATTGATACAATAGAATACCTTGGTATAAATACAAAGATGAATGAGAAATATACGACACTAGCTAACCACATATAGATGGCTAGGTAAATATGATAGACTAGTTCAATAGAACTCCTACACTAACGAAAGTATTTTACACGTTGTTACTTCTTAGTTCTTCCAATATCACACAAGATAACAACAATGAAGTCATCTTCACTTGCATCATTTTCTTCATACAAAGCCAGTAGTGATTGTGTTTTATGTATGATGATAATTATTAGTGACGGTGGTTATGTAGAGTAACTAAAAAGATCGGATGTCACACTTTACAACCAATCTAGTTCACCTTGTAAACAAACTTTGAATCTGTAAACAAGCTTTGAAGAAAAAAAAAATCTACATGTCATCATATGTAACCAACTGATTAACATGTAACCAATTGATTAATAAGAATTTTTGACAAAAATATGAAAATAAGAGAAAATCATAAGCTACTTGTTTAGAAAAGGAGACCAAAGTAAGATGATTTTCTTATTATATTCCCCTCTTTGTGCATTTGTTTCCTAATTATGACTTGATTTGCTAATTGATGCCTTCAAAGTTATAAAACCTAACCGAATAACAAATTGTACTAAATGAGTAAAACACGAGGGATATTATTTGTATCTTCTCATTTTGAATTTCAAAATTTTGTGGCAGGCGCACCGTAGACCTTTAACCGTATACTTGTGGAAACCGACGTAGCAGACCCCCACCTTCTGTGCTTATATATACTAAACCCCATTCCTGAAACCGACATGACAAATTTGAAATCGATTTGAGAAGGCGTCTTAATAAACGCCCTTCGAATACCTCTTTCTTCCTTCGAAACCCTAGATCTACGATCTTCATCTTCTCGTTTTCCATTCTTCTCTAAAACCAAACGAAAATGAGAGAGTGCATTTCAGTTCACATCGGACAGGCCGGTATTCAGGTCGGGAATGCCTGTTGGGAGCTCTACTGTCTGGAGCATGGTATTCAGGTAAATCTCGTTATCTATCCAGATCTACGATTCTGTTGTGTTATATGAGTGATTTACGATTCTATTTCGTTTGTTTGTGTGGATTTTCATTCGGCATTGTTTATTATTATTTTTTTTTATCAGATTTATGTTTCATTTCTCAGATCTGATGTTTTTTTTAACATTATCTAGCAAGTAAATGTTTAAAACCTTCTTTCGAATGATAGTTTGTATGGAAAATGATGTTGCGATGACGAAATGTTTCAGATCTTAACATATGTTGAATATCTAGATCTACGAATCATGTATTTGCGTATTTCTACTGACTGTGTGAATATTTGATGCCGTTATGTCGATTTTCGAGGTCTTCATTTACGCGAATCTGTATTTGTTGTTTTCTCGAATCGACTTCTTTTTGTTCAGTCTAGTTTTCTCTTTGATTAAAGTTGGTGTTGTAGGGTTTCTAATCTTATCCTATCTATAAACTTTTACTCCTTTTCATCTGCTACTAATACGAGTACACATTTCGTAGACGATTGAGAGCTGGCTTCCCGTTATCCTTTCATTGTAAATCGATTGTATGCTAAACACAGTGTGTCTATGGAGTATACTATTAACTTATTACTGGATCTGTTTGTTCTAAATCTAAACATCTGTATCTATTCCACAGCCCGATGGCCAGATGCCAAGTGACAAAACTGTCGGCGGAGGTGACGACGCCTTCAATACCTTCTTCAGCGAAACAGGAGCTGGGAAACACGTTCCCCGAGCTATCTTCGTAGATCTGGAGCCCACTGTCATCGATGAAGTAAGAACTGGAACATATCGTCAACTCTTCCACCCTGAACAACTCATCAGTGGGAAAGAAGATGCTGCTAACAACTTTGCACGTGGTCACTACACCAGTAAGCAACTAAACTCGACATCCTTCCATTCATCAATGTGTTACACTGTTACTGATTAATGTTCTTGTGATTTCAGTTGGAAAAGAGATTGTTGACCTCTGCCTTGACCGAATCCGCAAGCTTGCCGACAACTGCACTGGTCTCCAAGGCTTCCTAGTCTTCAACGCCGTTGGTGGAGGAACAGGTTCTGGACTTGGTTCTCTTCTACTCGAGCGTTTGTCTGTTGACTATGGAAAAAAGTCAAAGCTAGGGTTCACTGTTTACCCTTCACCCCAAGTTTCAACCTCTGTTGTTGAGCCTTACAACAGTGTCCTCTCCACTCATTCTCTCTTGGAACACACTGATGTCTCTGTGCTTCTCGACAATGAAGCCATCTATGATATCTGCAGAAAGTCTCTAGACATCGAACGCCCTACCTACACCAATCTCAACCGTTTGGTTTCTCAGGTATCAAATCAACAAATTCACCTCCCATTTTATAATTAGTTTTAATTATATCAAAAATTCAAATTTAATATTTGATTATGTTTAGGTTATCTCATCATTGACAACATCTCTTCGATTTGATGGAGCATTGAATGTGGATGTAACTGAATTCCAAACAAATCTCGTCCCATATCCACGTATCCACTTCATGCTTTCTTCATATGCACCCGTGATTTCAGCTGAAAAAGCCTACCATGAACAGCTCTCAGTAGCAGAAATCACCAACACTGCTTTTGAGCCCTCTTCCATGATGGCCAAATGTGACCCTCGCCATGGGAAATACATGGCTTGCTGTTTGATGTACAGAGGTGACGTGGCACCAAAGGATGTGAATGCAGCTGTGGGGACCATTAAGACGAAAAGAACAATCCAGTTTGTGGACTGGTGTCCGACTGGGTTCAAATGCGGGATTAACTACCAATCCCCGACTGTGGTCCCGGGTGGTGACCTGGCGAAGGTGCAACGTGCGGTTTGTATGATTAGTAATTCGACTTCTGTTGCTGAGGTGTTTTCGAGGATTGACCATAAGTTTGACTTGATGTATGCGAAGAGGGCGTTTGTGCATTGGTATGTGGGTGAGGGGATGGAGGAAGGGGAGTTTAGTGAGGCGAGAGAGGATTTGGCTGCTTTGGAGAAGGATTATGAGGAGGTTGGGTTGGAGAGTGGGGAAGGGGAGGATGATGAAGAGGAGGAGTATTGAAGAGTGTGAGAGGAGGGGTTTAATTACTTATTTGACCTTTCAGCAAATGCTGGTTACTACTACTATTACTACTACTACTTTTGTTTTGGGATATTGTTGTGTTAGGGTGTTGGGTTATGCCTTTATGATGTTTTTGGTTATGTTTTTTTTTTAAATGTTGTAGTTGAGAACTTGAGGTGATATGGTGTTTTGAAGTGCTGAGAATGTTGGCAGCTTGGTGTTAGCTGTTTTGAACTTTTTTAAGCTCAATGGTATCGTATTAAGTAAGCTGTTTTGTGTTTGTGATCTCTTCTCTGCCATTTTAGTTTTGTTTTTTAGTTATTTTTTAAAGGAAAAATTAATTAATGATATGGCTAAATAAAAAAACCCTTTGGTTATCAACTTTTTTCTTACCAAAAAAGCAAATTATGGTTCATATTCTGTTTAGTTAGGTTGGTTGAACTTGTTTCGAGTAAAAGTTCTCTTGAAAAAACGTTTATTGTATGTTGATAAGTCTTGATTTTAAAACATGACTAAAAGGAAGAATCTTTCTCCGAAGCTTCTTAATAGTTGGTATTCGCATGCAAAACAAGTCACAAAAAAAAAAAAGAAAACTGATAAGAGTTCAAGCCAAACTTTATTTCACACATAAAGAGCACGTTCTTTTTAGTGAAATCGATCTTTAACTGTTCGTTTATTTTGTTTATTGTTTTCAAAAGTTTGTAGAACTTCAACTAGGGATGTTAAAAAATCCGTGATGAAAGTTCGTGGTGTTTCTTCAGGGAACAAGAAAACGAAGTGATGGTTAAAACTTTGTTTCTGCAAAGACTGTCTGATTGAATTCAAAATGTGCATTCAACATATTGGAGGATTTTTTAAACAAAATATTTGTAATTACTCATCACATCAACTCCAATTATGATGTTCTCTGTATTAAGATCCATAATCGTTGCCACGTGGAGGCCATGTCAGCACCAGGTGGACATGTATGGTGACTAAGATAACTATAAAAGTGGTGTAATTGATACAAACAATCAACTTTAACGACCTATTGCATTTAAAAAACTTTAATAACCAAATTAAAACAAGAAACCTAGTTGATATGCTACAATATTATTTTCCCAATAATGGAAAGTACTAAAAGCAAATGCACAAGCTTTTTAGAAAAAAAGCTCATGAAATGAGAAGTCCCGCTTCAAAAATCTATTTTTTTTCACTCCATTTCCAAGCTCAATCCTCTGACTCTCCATTTATATCCCATTATATTATTCATTTTCACCAAAATTATTGATTTTAGTGTAAATAAATAGTATTACTATATACATGAAATAATATTATTATTCATTTGCACCAAAATGGTCTATTTTGATGCAAATGAATAAATAATAATATTACTTCATATTTAAAATATTATTATCATTTGTGTCAAAATGAATTGGAAGTTTTGCCTGTCAGTTTTAATCCTTTGTTTTTTTTTATGTTTATACATTTCTAGTTTAATCTGGTAGTTATAATGTAAATATAATTCTTAATATTTACAGTAACATAAATTGCACATTTTTACATGTTTATTTCATGCCATGCATTTGAAAGGAACGAAACGCTGTTGTCATGTTCGAGCTAAACAAGTAAACTACTTGTCTTCGTTGCGTAGGCGAAGTGCAAAGTGAGTTGGCTGTTTCGAAAAGTGAAGATAGTCGCATAGTTCATAGTTCAGTGACCAATTAGGTTGTTTTAACAAGCTAGTTAGGCGAGATATGCTAAAAAGAACCCAATAAGGCGCATCATACAAATAAAAATTCCGGTTTAAAGCTTTCCAACTTTTATCTAACTGGAAACTATTCTTCACTAAACACACCCGGCCCATGCTTTCTAGTTAATTTTGCTAAAATTAACCATTAATCCATTTATATCCTTCCCACTGCTTGGACCTCATTGGGCCCTCTACAATTACATATTTGCTCTCCTTAATCCGTCTTCATAATCCGTTAGCGAATCACTACTTCACAACCATAATTTCAGATCGGAAAATTGAACAAGCGAAAGATGGCGTCGGCGATTGCAAGGTCCAGTCTCCGGAAGGCTCTCGGAGTTGCGCGCGCGAATCCGGCATCCACGAGATCATTTTCTTCCGGCGCATCGGTTGATGAAGAAGCTCGTAAGATCATCCTGTTTCTAACAATTCATATTCCGTTAAATGCATAACAATAATCTTCTCTCATCTCTGAAATTTGTTTCTCCATTGTTCTGTTTGATCAAGTAATGTTAATCAACATCCGTCAAATTCAGGTTTTCACTGTGATTTACGTCTTTCAATTTCGAAAACGGAAAATGTTCGATGATTGAAATTTGATTTGATCCGGAATCTGGATCATGTCTTGTTTATCGTCGTTATGATATGATTTGATTTGCGTAAACACAGGCGAAGCTGCAAAGTGGGAGAAGATCACATACGTAGCGATTGCTGCTTCCTCGATTCTTGCATTCGTTAATCTATCAAAAGGACATCCTCATTTCGATGAACCACCTGTAAGCTCTGTTTTTGTTATCAGTTATCACAGTTTGTTACACCATTTTTTTTCCCTTGATTAGTTGAGTTATGTGGATAAATATCATATTGCAGCCATATCCATACTTGCACATTCGTAACAAGGAGTTTCCATGGGGTATGTTTTCTCTATGCAACTGCTATGCGTTTCATTATTACTGAATTTCTCTTTGGATTTGGATTAAATCATATTTTAAAGTTGACTTGTCAACATGGTATGTGAATATATTGATATGTATCTCGATGGCTCACCTTACACCATTTAGCATTTTCATTGTAACTTTTAGTGCAAAAACCTAAAAAGCTTAACATATGTTTTCGCTATAAAAATGATAATAAATAAATATTACATTAGTATTTAATGTATTTATGTATTTTGGCTGTTACCAAAGTTTTTATTTAATAATATTTTTAACAAATGTCTAAATTTTGTATATTTATATTTTCTATAAAACTAAAAAAATAATTCTTTATGCTAATTCCTTATGATATTTTAAATAATAGTTTTTATTTAATAATATTTTACCAAATGTCTAAACTTTGTGTATTTATATTTTTCATAAAACTAAAAAAAATAATTCTTTATGTTAATTCCTTATGATATTTTAAATAAAAAATTTTATTTAATAATATTTTACCATGGTTTTTATTTTTATTTTCAGGTCCAGATGGGCTGTTTGAAGTCAAGGAACACCATTAAATGATATGGTGATATTTATGTCACTACACTTCCTTTAAATAAAGAGTTTGAGGATGCTATCTGTTGATTTTTTTTTTTTTTTTTTACCATTAACAAAAAAAAATAATGTATTTATCTACTATACACCAAAATTATAAATAACGTTATATAGATAATTACAAAAATCTTATTCCAAACAATATCCGTAAGTAAATTAAATAACAATTCTACTAAAAAGAAATTTAAAACCCTCAAAACGCAAGAAAGTAAAATACTACATTACATTACACTACACGTGCATTCAACAACACAAAAAGAATGGAAATGTAACGCATAAAAAAGCATATAATATGATGTGAGAGAGAGATGAGTTGCTTAGCTTTACTCTTCTGCTGTTGCTGTATCATGAGTGTTGCTTCCTTCGTTTCCAGTCTGTGGCAATGTTTCAAGATCTGTTCGAGCATCTTTCACATCTTGTGGTAATGAAGAATCTGAACTCACTTCATTGTTGTTGTTAGACTCATTGGATTCTGTCTGAGTTGACTCGTTTTCTGCTGAGTTTGACTCTGAACTCGCTCCATTGTTGTTGGAGTTGGCGTCTGTGCTTTGAGTTTGTTCATTTGATTCTGTTTGAGTTGACTCGTTTTGTGCTGAGTTTGAATCTGAACTCGCTCCGTTGTTAGAATCTGTGCTTTGAGTTTGCTCGTTGGATTCTGTCTGAGTTGACTCGTTTTGTGCCGAGTTTGAATCTGAATTCGCTCCATTGTTAGAATCTGTGCTTAGAGTTTGCTCATTGGATTCCGTCTGGGTTGACTCGTTTTGTGCTGAGTTTGAATTTGAATCTGTGTTTTGGGTTTGCTCATTGGACTCTGTTTGAGTTGACTCGTTTTGTGATGTGTTTGTATTTGAATCTGTGTTCGACTCTGTCTGAGTTGACTCGTTTTGTACTGAGTTTGACTCTGAACTGGCTCCGCTGTTATTAGATTCAGTGCTTTGAGTTTGCTCATTAGATTCTGTTTGGGTTGACTCGTTGTTTTGTGCTGAGTTTGCATTTGAATCTGTGTTTTGAGTTTGGTCATTAGACTCTGTCTGAGTTGACTCGTTTTGTGCTGAGTTTGAATCGGAACCCGCTCCATTGTTAGAATCTGTGCTCTGAGTCTGCTCGTTGGATTCTGTCTGGGTCGACTCGTTTTGTGATGTGTTTGTATCAGAACTCGCTGCATTGTTGGAGTCTGTGCTTTGAGTTTGCTCATTGGATTGTGTTGACTCACTTTGTCCTGAGTTTGATTCAGAACTCGATCCATTGTTGTCAGAGTATGTATTTTGAGTTTGCTCATTGGTCTGAGTTGACTCGTTTTGTGCTGAGTTTGAGTGTGTGCTTTGATTTTGCTCATTGGACTCCGTCTGAGTCGACGGGTTTGAGTCAGTGCTTTGAGTTTGCTCATTGGACTCTGTCTGTGTTGACTCATTTTGTGCGGAGTTTGACTCAGAACTTCCTCCATTGTTAGAGTCTGTACTTTGAGTTTGCTCAGTAGACTCAGTCTGGGTTGACTCATTTTGCGATGAGTTTGACTCCGAACTTCCTTCATTGTTGTTAGAGTCTGTACCTTGAGTTTGCTCCTTAGACTCAGTCTGAGTTGACTCGTTTTGAGCTGAGTTTGACTCGGAACTTTCTCCATTGGAGGTAGAGTCTGTACTCACAGTTTCCTCCTTGGACTCTGGTGTTGACTCAATTTGCTCCTTGGACTCCGTCTGTGTTGACTCATTTTGTGCTGAGTTTGACTCAGAACTCTCCCCATTGTTGGTAGATTCCGTGCTTCCACTTTGCTCATTTGACTCACTCTGTGTTGACTCGTTTTGTGCTGAGTTCGCACTTTCATCCTTGGACTCAGTTCCAGTTTCTGTTGACTCAGAACTCTCACCATTATTACTAGACTCTGTCTGAGTTGACTCGTTTTGTGCTGAGTTCGAGTTCGAGTTTG